TTAAAAGAAAAACTTATAAATTACAATAAGGTTGGGCGTGGTGGTGGCATATGTCTGTAAGCCTAGGATTCAAGAGGCTGAAGCAGAAGGATCTCTGGGAGTTTGAAATCAACCTAGACCACAAAGCGAATTCAAGGCCAGCCTGAACTACATAGTGAGACCTTGATTCAAAAATCAAAGGAAAAAAAATTATAATAAAGTCAAGATAGGTAACAAGTCTTGTGTTACCAAAGGAAGACTCACTTGTTCTGATCCCGTCTTTATTTAAAAATGTGGTTTTCATTGCTATTGTTTTGAGACAGGATCTCGCTGTGTGGTCCAAGCTGGCCTTAAACTCACAATGATCCTCCTGCCTCAGCCTCCCAAGTGCTGGGATTACAGGCTTGCACTACCAATCCCAGCCATATGGAAGATTTTAAAAAACAATTTAGTGGCTTTTAGCCTATGTATTCACTACATTGTGCAACCCACCACCTCTTCCTAGTTCCAGAGCACCCGATCACCCCAAAGAAAGCCCCAGCTGTCCCCGTGAGCAGTTACCTGTCCCTTCCCCAGCCTAGCACCCTCAAGTCCTGGGCGTTTCCTGCCCATGGAGCCACACTGTGTGTCTTCTGTGTTTTTGTCTCTCACTGAGCACAGCATCAGGTCCGGCCATACTGTGGAATGTGCCACTCCTTTTCCTGGCTGAGTAATATTCCAGCATGTGGGGGATCCACAGACAGTGGAGTCCACCCATCCAGTGCATATCATTCACGCGATGACTGGGTTTTTGGCTCCCCCTTCCTTAGTTTCCACATCATAATGAGTGCCAGCCTTGCCTCTCTATGGGTGACATGAACATTGCACTTAAGTTTTTTGCATGCGTGGCATGGAACCTCTGTGACCACCCTTGTCACCCCATACTAGATTCCTGTCCCCACGGCACCCTGTGTCTGATTGCCTTGTTGCTCCTCCAGCTCAGCAGTGCTTCCTGCCCCAGGACCTTTGCACCCGCTGCCATGCTCATGCCCTAGCCCTGAGCTGCTCTCTTCCAACCGGCCTTCCTTGGTCTCCCCTCCTGCATCCTTTTCTCTCCTCCCCGGCTCTATTTCTGTCATCGCATGTAGTCTACAGCTCTGGCGTATTTATTTACAATCACCTCGGTCGTGTGGACTGAGGGACCTGGCACACGCTGGCACCGAGCCTGGCACCTGGAAAGCGCTAGATGGGTTGCCCACATCAAGCAGATAGATACACACCACGCTGAAATAAAATCCACGGGGGCTGTACATGTTATGGAGTGAAAAGGAGAGAAGGATTTGTGGCTGGGATGGCCAGAGAGCGCGAGGGGAGACGCAGGAATGGACACGCACTGCCCGGGAGCCGCACTCCAGGCCCGTGCAAAGGCCCATGGGCAGCGCGGAGCCCAGGGCAGTGCAGGGGCAGCGCGGAGGCCGAGAGGGAGGAGGGGCCGGGCTCCTGCTCTCGGCCGCCATTAGCTCACTGTTACCGGCCGCGGGTGCCCTGCTGGGGACTCCGGGCGCAAGGCCCCCGCCCCCCGGAGCCCCTCCTCCCGCAGGCCTCAGTTTCCCCGCGCAGCCCAGCCCGTCTTCTCCGCGCTCTCCGGGCCTGTTTCCCGCACGCCCCTGCGACTCAGCCTTCCCGCGTCGCCAGCCTCGACGCCCCTCTCGCGCGCCGGCTGCAGTCTCCCCGCGCTTCCCGGCCTCAGTTTCCCCCTGGCGCCCCGCTCGGGCTC